TAGGTCGAGTTTACGGATGAGTAACGAGTGACATACTTTGTCAAAAGCTTTACTGAAATCGGTGTAAATTACGTCGGTATGAGCATTTTCTCTAAAGCCGTTTGAGACATGAGTTGTAAACTCCAATAAATTAGTAATAGTAGATTTTCCTTTAGAAAACCCGTGTTGAGATTGTGTAATTGAAGAAGATATAGAATATGTCAGCTGGTTAACAATAATTGCTTCGAATAATTTGGGGATAGCAGAGAGTTTCGCTATGCCTCGATAGTTTTCTATAGACGACCTGCTGCCGTTTTTGTGAAGTGGTATTATGAAAGACTCCTTCCAGGCTGACGGAAAAACGCCATGTTTAAGTGACAAATTGAATAGAGTTGTTAAAGGCTCGCAGATGTTCTCAGCGCAGTTTTTAAGAAAACAGGTCGGAATATGATCAGGTCCAGGCCTAAATGACGCTTTTAAGGTTTTTAAAGAGTGTAAAACTTCATCGGAAGATATTACTGGAATATAAGCAGAGTTGATTGGACAAAGCTCGTACGGATAGTCTCCACTTATAGGGAAGTCTACAGAATAATTGGACCTAAAGAACCGAGCAAACATGTTGGCAATGAGTTGGCTGTCGCTAGATACAGTGTTGCGATAATGCATAGCGGACGGAAAACCATGTGCCTTACGCTTTGAATTTACGAAACCATAAAATGATTTAGGATTGTTAATTAAATTCTTCTTAATTTTACATAAATATGAATTATAACATTTCTTATTTAGTGCAAAGTAGCTATGCCGCAAAACTGAGTACCTTAGGTAATCACTGTGTAAGCCCGTTCTTTTATACAGTTTAAAAGAGTGCGACTTTTTATTTTTCAATTTTTTAAGCTCTTTAGTGAACCATAATTGTATTGGTTCTTCATGAACAATATTACGTATTGGCACATACTTTCGAAACAAATTGAAAACAGTATCATTAAAGTGCTCAACGTGCTTTTTTTAATTTCAAACCCGAGAACCGTTTTTTTTTTTTGTTTCAAATTTAAAATTTTCGACTAACTCAAAACCTCATGTACACTCACTTACAAACGTTTGTGGTTTTATATCAACACAAACATTTATGAAAAAGTCAACAGAGGAATTGAAATGGAAAAGGAAAAAATAGACTGAAGAAGTGAAAGCACAAATTAAAACGGATATGAATATGTTGATTTCCTACTACATTAATGCAATCATTGAGTACTCGTATGTGCATATATGAACATATGTTATCACATAAATGCGAGTGTGCGTTCTGGAGCCTGCTTAAGTACTTATGTAGTCAGAACCCAGCAATCAAAATGGCTAGTTCGCAGCTATTGCCAAGCAAACTCAAAATATGTCGATCTATCGCAATGCAATGCTTTTAACTGCCCCGCAAAGTGGATATCAACATTACATTCTCCAAAACTTTTCAAAACATTCTGTATTGGTTCCATTTTGGACAGTTAAGGAACCAATAATCTGCATCTAGCACACAAGGTTTGAAATCTACCACATATTCGCGTTTTAGAATAGTTCTAATTTTGCTCAACCAAAATTTCTTTCTTAATTTTTTTTTTTTTAATTTTAATAGCGAAAAATTGTCCAATACAAAACACTAAGTGATAAAAAGAAAAGCTTGCAGCACTCTGCAAGGTTGCAGAAATCTCTCAAAGTATGTACAAAAAATGTTTGCATAAAGTATGAAAACCGGTTTAGAATGGTTTTTTAAATAATGAGCTATTCTTTTATAAAAAATTAATAATCTTTAACAAACAAAGAAAACTAGTCAAAACTTGTAAGACGGTCGCATTCAATTAATTTGTTCGACGCTATGAGTGCTTATTATAATTTCTGTTTTGTAATACATAAAAAGAGATAAATAAATAATAATCTATGCAAGAACTGTAATCTTCCACTTTTTTTTTTTGAAATCTACCACATTTTTTCCATATTCTATAACATAGAATTTTATTTTTAGTCCAATCACTGGCCCCAACTAATCCACTCTCTATTCATTTTGTCGTCGTTCAGAGACAGTTACGAAATGGTTAGTGCGAAAGTAATGTATTCAAATTTTGTTTAAAAACATACTCGACTATAATAATAAATGTCTCTCAGCGGGCTGGCACCTAAACGATTTTTATGTTCTCTTTAAACTACCATCTTATTTCTCAGCAGTTGCGTAATTTTAATGGTCTTGAATATATTTACATATGTCGACATACATACATATGTATGCATACATATACATATTAACCCATTTCCCCCATTTCAGTTCAGAGCAAATATTTATATTAATTAAAAATATGCATATGAAATTCACAATTTTACTTCGTCGGAAAGTGCTCGTTCACATCCTTACTCGTATGCAGGTTAAAATTTCTTTAATATGTACTGATAAGAAATTACTGTTTTTTAATTACATAAAAATGCAGATTACACTACTGATATTTGGGTATAAAATTGAAAGAAAATATTTGGATAATTAGAAACAGTTTTATTTTTTCCGATACACTTGCAATTCCTTGTTATAGTTACAATTATAAAAATACGAGAAACCCACAATTAAAACAAGTAAAGAAGTATAAGTTCGGTCGAAATCGAACTTTATATACCCGGCAAAGATATGAAATTTCGTCATTTCAATTTTCTCTGAACTACTTAGCTTTGCATAAGCACGGGTATTTTTCCCGATTTCAAAAGTTTTCGTTAATATGTTGAGTTAGACTTAATGAAATAATTGAACCAAGTTTGGTAGAAATCAATAAAAGCCTTGTAGTCATAAAGTGGCCGGTGCCACGACCAATTCCTAAAAGTTTATAGCAGTCAAATTTATTGAGAAGAGATGGTTGTAAGTATTTTGTATTCAGTTATTAAAATATCGTAGCTTTCGTATGTGTCAAATTTACCGCTATACGGGAAACGGGCGAATTGTTTCTCCATACCAGGGTTATTAAGCGCACTGAGTTTGACACAAATTGATAAATCGGTTATCGCGATACACATTTGTGGTCATAAGTGGGCGGCACCACGCCCATTTTCCAAAAATTCATAATAATCCAATTTTCTGCTAAGTGGTTATTACAATCATCGACTTGTAGTCAATTAGCTTCAATTAGTTATTGATTTATTGCAGTTTTCGTGTTACTGTAAATTACCGTTATATGGAAGGTTATAGCACGCTTGTGTGCAGGTGCGCTCGGGTATACAAACATGTAGGTAAGTATATATGAACATATGGATAAGAAATAACTTATTTACACTTTTTCATTTTAATTCAAGTTTTTAATGAATTAATAACAGTCACTCACAAAATTGAGTATACGGTGATTTTTTTTTTTTTTTAATATTCACAATAGTTTTCATGTTAAAAATCTGAGTTTCAAAGACTTCGTAAAGATTCCGGCCTACCTGTTCGAAAATTTCGTACAACTTCCTGTTTACTATCAGAAAAATTGCGGCTTCATTCATTTTCATGTAAATTTTCTATAAATTTGTAACTTTTTTTATTAATGGTTAATAATATAAAGTAACCTATGCATATTTTTGCAAAATAATAACACAAAAGTTTTTACTTTAAAAACGTTGTGTATACTTAAAAAATCATATTGTGGTCGGTTGTTTGAGTCAATGTAGGCAAAATATAGTAAAACTGCGTTTTTAGGTTTTCTCACTGACGTCAGGATTTTCTAAAGGACTTTGAAATTCTTAGAATATGATTAAATGAAAAAATTATTCAAAAAATTCGGTGCATTGTAAAATAACAATATGGGTATCAATTAAAAGGTAAAATTTAGTTAGTTTAGAAGTTTATATAGAGGGAAAAAATGTTTTCAATTACTTTTTTTTTGTACAAATAGAAATATTTGTGTTTAAGAAAGCGTAAGTTTTCTGGTATCTTTTACAACGATACTAATTTTTCTAAATCGGTTTGTAATTTTTTTGTTTAAAATACTTTTTATAAAAAAAGGTATTTTTTGCAGTCAAGTGTTTTTTCTCAAATTTTTATATACAAAGTATACAAATATGCTTAACAGAAGAAAAGTGGTTTAATCGCCTTTACAACGACACCAAATTTTTAAAAATCGCTTAGTTATTTTCTTGTAATTTTTTTATAAAAAACATTTTTTTCTTTCAGGTTTTTTTATCAAATTAGTTAGGGTTAGTAATTTTTTTGTTTAAAATATTTTTTTTTATAAAAAAAGGTATTTTTCCTTTTAATTAAAAAAAAGTGGATATCAATCGAAGGGGGTTTGAGAACTTGTTATTTCTGAAATTTATATATCGGGGTTGCCACATGTTTGACAAATAAAATTCCACTTAATCTGTTAATTAAAATGTGTATCGTAGTATGCGGCGAAGGAGAGTTAACAAGGATTAAGCTTGAAAATACTTTTGAAGAGGGCTGCCACCTGTTTGAAAGGTCTAACTCAATTAACTAATTCAAAAAGTTTATAAAATATAAAAATACCGTAGTCAAACGAAAGAATGTTAAGAAATCTTTACTTTGAACATTTAAAAAGTTTGAAGAGGGTTGCCACATTATTCTATAAGTTGGATGAATTATTTAAAAAAAGATGGGCATAAATCGAAATGTGTTTGAAATTGCTTTATTCCTGGCCTTTATTTAGGAGGGTTGCCATTTGTTCGAACAATCAAGAGAAAACTCTTGAAAAGGAATTTCAAAAATGAGTTCTCGAAATTCAATTTTGGGCGTTTTAACGCCATGCGGTTTCACTAGTTTATTTTAATATTTGTTCTAAAGCAAAAAAGTTCTATCCGTGTACTTACATTTCATTAAAAGTGTTCCGTTCATCTATATATCTTACTATATGTATGTCTTATCTTCTTCTTTGCAGATTAGTGCGGGTTTTCACTGCAGTTAAAATGCACCAAATAGAATGAGAACTCTATCACTTTTGCCACCCATCAGGGCAACGAAGTGAGAGCAGAAACCATACAGAGCTCTCGCCGCACAGCTTTATAATGAAATGGATGTGCAACAATCAATCGGTCATGGACCAACAAACACCACAACAACAAATGCTAATATCATCCACCCATATAGTTGCCGGTTGGCAAGTACAGCATGGACGCAGCTCTGGGAAGCTGATATTTGGTGCCAGCCAAAAGCAAATAACAGCGACAACATCAGTGGCGGCGGCGATGTGGGCAACAGCAGCGTTGCAGGAGCACAAAGTGCGGAGGCAACAAGCTCCGCAAATTACGCCACCAACACAAACCCGCCCCTCACAACTGCGCCATCCGCACTCAGTCAAACATACCGCTGCGCGCTTAGCAAATTCGATGTGGCATTGCGTAGGGCACGCTATAAATGTCAAGCGATTGCAACGGGCAGTACCGAGGTGCCAGCAGAAGTGGCGAAAAACGATATTGATGACGCGTTGGCGGAGGCAGTGTCCGAAGCGATGGGCATCCCAGCTGTTACGGGTGCCTCGGCTGCGAAAGGCGTCGATTGCGTAATGAATACAGAAGTGATAGTGCAACAGTTGCAGCAACCGGTGGCCGATTTTAATTTGGCGCTTATGCAGCAACAACAGCAATTACAAGATGATCCTCTTAGTCATTTAGTTAATAGTATTAATATAAGTGAGACAACAACTACAGCCTGCAACGTAGTACAAAGTCAAACGCTGTACTGTGATGAGTCGACGACAGTCGCCAGCATATTCGAGAGTGGCATGCAAGCAGCGGCTTCGACAACAACAAACACAGCAGCAGAAAGTGCGTTTAACGTCACCGCTGCCAGTGCGGGCAAAGCTGACTTTGCTTCCAGCAACAGCAATGCTTCCATCTTAGACAACTTTATTTGCTATCTGCGCATACAATACGAACAAATAACCGCTTCAATCAACCAACCACCACCCGCCTACCATAAACCGCCGCAATCCGACGCCGCGTACGAGGAATTGCTGCCGCACAACTTGACTGATAGCTTTAGCGCCAGCAGCGATTTCAGCCGCAATCCTTTCAGTGGCGCTTGGCAGCATTTTCTCAACGTCACTAGCAGCAGCAGCGGCGGCGCCAGCGTCAGTAGCAGACTGACTTCGAGTGAATGGTTGCCGCAGTTGGGCGCTCAGCTGCTAAACGCCACTGCTGGACAATTAAACCAGAGTTGGCTTGCTGGCGCTTATGATGATGCACTTTGGTCGTGGAATACATTTGATATGCTATCGAATGACAGCGGCGCTGCCAGAAGAGATCTTAATGCGGCGACATTCCCACTAAGCACCACTACAACTGAAATTCCTAGCGATTCACTAGCTTCGCTATGGGGGCCACGCAATCTAAGCGTTGACTACTCGCTTGGCAATAAGCTGTCGAAGCAGCGCGATTATGAATGGATTTTTCTCTGTGTTATCTTTTTCATATTTGCTGGTGGTCTTGGCAACATTCTCGTCTGCTTGGCTGTGGCGCGTGATAAAAAATTACAAAATGTTACAAACTACTTTCTATTCTCGCTAGCGATAGCCGATCTACTAGTCAGCTTGTTCGTGATGCCGCTGGGTGCAATACCGGCGTTTTTGGGTAAGTGGTTATAAACATAAAATAAAATAATAAGAGACAACAAGATCAATATAAAACTCTTTATTATTGAAATCAAGGATAAATAGTTTAAGTGCATACATATGTATATATGTATATATAATGCCCATCACAACAAACACATTAAGTTTATAAGGGAATGTCTGAAATGTCGTAGAATTTAAAATATGCAGGGCTAATTAGGGATGTCAGTGGAAAACAAACAAAAAATCATCGATTCCTTGTAGGTCGTTATTTTTCGATGCATCGGACGGCGTATATCGAATAAAATTTTTTGGCCAAGTCACGTCTCTTTTTGCATAATTAAAAAACTGAAATGACGGATCTATGTACTAGAGGTGTCAGTTTTCGAAAACCATCTTCGTTTATACATCGAGTGGAAAAAGCTCGATGCATGCATGTATTTCTGACATTCCTAGGGCTCATTCTTCAGCATTGTAGTTATCCACGAAGCCGATGAGCCCTGGTACAGACAATTTAAGCCATTCCGAGAACGTAGCCTATCAAACTTCGCCTTGAAGGCAAGTTTGCCCATTATAAATGTCCAACATCAGTGTCAGGATGAGGCAGATAAAGAAGCATCAACTTCTGTCGAGAGACTTTGTTGATATAAGCCACGGTTGGAGTATTAAAGTGATCGCTGAATTTCCTGTGGTGGTGCCACATAGAAGAGTATTTGCATAGTAAAGCCGGTCAAAATTATTTGGTGTGATTTCTACTATGTAATAAGAGAAAACAAAAATCCACTTTTGAATGAAGAAGTACTCCTATAGCATCTATATGCATTTATGCACCAGAGATCTAACTCTTAACTACTATACTTAAAAAAAGTCAGATAGCTACAAACTATATTTTTAAATAATAAAAATATATGTAGATTGTTTCTCCAAAAACTGTTTTTCGTGAAAATATTATTCTTTTGACTTTAAAAAAAAATTAGAACCTTCGAACTTTTTTTTAAATGTGAGTTAATTTAGTTTTAGTTTATAAGAAATATCGGCTAATCACATTTCAACCTTCATATGCTCGGTAATCGACATTTGTAGCATTTTCGCCAAAAAAAATTTTTAATAAATAAATTATTTCCACTACAATTGTGTCCGTGGTTTTCAGTAGCTTCGTAACAATCAATTCTTAAAAGTTTTGGCTGTTAAAAGTAAAAAAAAAAAATTAGAAATGACCATCTCCTGGCCGGTAGTCTAACATATAACCATATAACAGCGTGAGACAGTCAATTTTTCTCACAACAAAATTAATATACTCACAAAAATTCGGGCCAAATATAGTGAAGCAGCGTTTTTAATTTTTTTTCTTACAGCGGGATTTTTTTTTAAGACTTTGAAATTTCAAGATATAATAAATTTAAAAAATATTTAAAAGATTCAGCGCAATACAGAAACAATATGGGTGTCAAATAAAAGAGAAAATTTATTCAAATTAACTTTATTAGTTAGGAAAAAAAATATTTAGAACCACAGTTTCAATACCTATTAGTCCCTGCGCGTCAAAAAGTTGTATGTTTTTTTTTTTAATTCAGTAGAATTTCTGTTTCATTTGGTAGCCAACATCGCACTGAACGTTTTTAATAATTTTTTGAATTCTTCATATCCCTCAAGATTCAGAGTCCTTTCATAAATATAATGACGACGGAGGGACAAACTAAAAACGCATGTTTACCGTATTTGGCCCCTAGTTTTGTCAATATTTTGCTTTGTGTGTTTTGAATTTTTTTTTTTGTTTTTGTCGCACGTTGTAATATTTATGGAAAGTCACATCACTATTTAGTCAACTCAAGATTTTTTAATTTCTGCATGTCAAAACATGTTTTTTTGTAATTATGTATTCGCATATGTTACTTAGGTAGGTGTTATGCAGACGAATTTTGTGTTTGGCAAACAAGATGCGAGTTTGCGACGCGCAATTCTCACTTAGACTTTGCGTAAATGTTGCTCGATGAATAAAAGTTAATTCTTTTAACTTAATTTTCTGTAGAAAAACTTTTTTTAACAAATATGTAAAAATATGCACACAAGTATAATTTGGCAGCTTTCACAAGGACATGAAACTGGTTATTGTTTTTAGTAAGGCCTTTTTCTTGGCTTTTCTACGTTAATTTCTTATATCGTTATAAAGCAAAATAAAAACAAACATTTTAAATATTTACAACAAATTTTGTTCTAAGTTATAGCAATTATTAAAAAGTATTAGTAGTACACGAAATTTCTGCCAAATTCTCTGAAAGATATCATTCGATATGTAGGAGACATTAAAAAACAATCGAAAAATAATTACGTCAATATCGCTGTTATTCTCACAGACCACGCGCAAGCAAATAAATTGCAATTACTGTTGCGCTTCTTACCGCACTCTTTTGGTCTTGGTCTGAGAGACGAACAACAGTACTTAAGGGTTAAAGACATTTTTATCAAAGTACACAACTACTACTATGTGCGTCGGTAAGTATTCTTATTTCGGATTGCCTTAGCATCAAAAGCTCCTCTGTTCGTTTGTTGTTAAGAGAGAGTTAACTGTTTAGTCTATGCCGCCACGCAGCAACACAGAGGATTGTGTCATTGCTTCGTAAGTCCTATTTTACGGCTGTGTTGTAGCAATCTCATCGGCTTCACTTCGATATGAATATGTCCTAGAATCCAACAGCACTGCTTAGTGATGGGCGATAGGAACCGAAGAAGACGGAAGAATGGCATGGACATAAGCAGGCGCAAAATAACAAAATCATTTCGCTGACCTCGCTCCGGTAAAAGCTGTTTTTAATTCGATACCTAGGGATGGACAACGGAAAGAAGCCTGCTCGCGAGCATTATGGAAGAACCAAGAACAGAAGTACGGGTCCGGTCTAAAATTGGCACAGGGAACTGACGTAACTTCGCAAAGAGAGGCAACTGGAGAAAGTTTTTAGTTATCGACCTAAGCCGATAAATGGTTGTAGAAACCATTTTCGACTCCTGTTTGAAGCAACATTCATAAAAAGGTGTTTTTCTAAAAGCGGCCGCACTTTAGCGGAAATTATCAAACCTACGGTTACAATAATTCCGTGAAAACTGGTACGCCTTCCCATTGCGTACTAATTACTAGATCCACACACACACACAAATTGAAGGAGACCATGATCCAAACAATTAATAAAAATGTGAGCGCCAAGTGTTTATTTGGAATTAGATAGCTTGAATTTAAAGCATTAGACACACTCACACCATTTTCGAGGAATTCAGTTGGAAGTGCTAAACAAGAGCTTACTGATCAATCAAGTAAATCAAATAAGCAAAAAGTTTTTTACTTTTTTATTATTTTTTGCATGTTTATGTTTTTCCCGCCAATCAGTCTAGCAGAGACTTAAAAAGTCCTTGTTAAGTTTTTCCTTACAAACATTTTTAAAAGTTTGTATCCTAAAAAATTAAATATGTACCTACAAACACATAAGCACTGAAGTGTATAAGCTCGTATTTAGTCACGCAAAGAAAAAAACGTCGCTTAAAAGTACACAAACTTTGACCAACTCTCTCCATTTCCGCTATACATACATACATACATAGAAGTACATATACGCAAAGTATTTTGTTTGCCATGCTTATTATAAACTTTTACTACAAACCATTAAAATAACAAAAAAAAAATCAAAGCATACAAGAATTCGCACTCAAATTTCCACACTACGGGCATACTTCCGCATATTACTTAGTACTTGTAGTAGTAGTCGGTAAATTTTTTGCCAGTTACCTAGCTATACCTACTTCCTACTTCCACGTTTCTTAAGTTTGACGAATGCTTTTAAGCGAATTGGGTAACTTTAAGCAAACAAAAGATTAAATTTTTTCCAATCAATTGAGGGACAAAAAGGCAATTTAGGGCTAATAAAACTAAGTAAATAAATTTAAAGCTTTTAGTGTCCCAAAATGCAGGAAACAAAGAAAAAAATATAATATTTGTTTTTCTTTTGGGGTTAGAAAATGAATTGTTTCTTGCCTTTATCAATTGTTTGAAGCGCTTCTCTTTTGCAAAAGTCACAAAATAATTTTAGGGTAGCAAAAGGGTTAAAATTTGAGTTAGCATTTGAGGAAGATTTATAGCCAACTTTTTTCATAATGATTGGTTGATTAGCGCTGGAAGTGAGATGTTTAGAAAAGTATTAAAAGGTACACTAGCATGCATGAAAAATATCTTCGTTTTCCAAATTTTCCCTTACACTAATGGACTTTCAAAAGTTTTGAACCTTACCTACGCCAGAAACCTATCTGTTCGATTCGAAAGAGACATTAACATTTTAAAAACAACAACAAAAAAAACAGTATACAGCAGTAAAATTGTGTTATAGGTACGGTGACCATCCGTTCTGTTTTTTGCAGGACCGTACTGTTATTTAAAGGTCTGTCCTGCGTAGTTTTTGAAAACAGAAAACCCCCAAAATGTACTGATTTTTTCCAAGTGTCCTGCTTTTGTCCCGCATTTTCTTCGATATTTTATAATTAACTTTTCCTTATAGAAATAAAAGCAGTGTCGATAACTAATTGATAACTACATAAGGGTAAGCTGGTTTTGAAGGTTCAACTAGTCAATGCGTTCTAAATATTGTACGGTTATGGACAATGGATGACGAGAAATTGAAGACCAGCATCAAATATATCGATAACACTGTTCTACAAATTTTGTGGTAATCGCTTAAGAAAAAAAACAGTTTCCAAGCCAATTTTCCTTTGAAACAAGCGCTTTCGTAATTTTTTTGAAAAACGTGTTTTTGGTACATTTCGAACCTATTCGTCAATATCTCATGAAAAAATTATCCAATCAACATAAGCGACCTACAGTCCTCTTACAAAAATATATTACTTTGCCGATTTCGATGAAAATTGTTAGTGTTACAAGCGACCAAAATCGAAAAATTGAAATTTCAATCATTTTCTTTTTACAGTAAATGAAAATCTGATGAGAAATGTAGATGTTACGGAACACAGTCTGCACAAAAA